GTAGGATAGTCAAGGTGAGCAGGTCCCTTCTTGAACAGTCCAGTGATCTTGTCACCGAAGCTCTTGGCCTTCTCAGTGATGTCCAGTTCTTCTTCTGGTTTTTGTGGTTGAGATGTAGATGGTTGCTCATCAGATTTACCACTGTGGTACACAGCTACGTGATGAGTTAATGGGTCTCCATGTACTTCGGAAGATCTTTCAGTCGTAGATAGTGGACCATCGTATGTTTGCCTATTTTTCTCTTTCATGGAGTTTTCGGCATTTTGATCTGTGATGTTACCGTTTGCAAAGCTAGTTGATGGCGTTTGTTGGTCTTCGGGATAGTCGTATTGAGATGCTGTAGTGTTCATTCTGTCGAAAGTAGGATGTATCACATCAAAGTCGTCAATGCTCGAATCTAAGTCTGTCTGCCTGGGAGATGCAGGAGAATTCCAGGTTGAGTCATTGAAATCAATATCGATTTGCATTCTTGCTCTTGTGATTGGAGACAGAGGTGCTTCGGATTCGGATTTGTTAACGATAACGTACTGTGGTGATTGCGACCTGGGTATGATGTTCATATCTATAGTCAAAGAATCTCCTATAGGGATAGGTGAAGTTATTTGTTGCTTTTGTTGCTGTTCTATCATATCGAAATCGTCGGACATAGAGTCGCTGTCGCTCACTTCCAATACGCGATATGTAGTCGTTGTCGTTGTGATGATCGTTGTTGTGTGACGAGCATCAGCTTGATGAACAATTCCTAAGTATAGTGGTACCCCTTGAGCTGTTATTGCTCCTATGACTGGAGTCCCTTCAGCCTAAAAAAGTTTCATCTTCAGTCATGATTCTAGCCGGCTACCATGAAACAAAGAAAATATATTTTGATATCGCTCTTTTACTCTCTATTTGGAATGCGCGAAAGTAATTTTGAACACAAGGACAAGGTTTGATGATATGTTGAAGCATTGAAATTGAATTGAAGCAGAATGTGATTGTATGCATGATTTTCTCTCTGCCTCACATTCTTTCACGAAAATGCTATGATGGAATTACCTGTAACGTCGTTATCGTGGACGAGACGGATTGACTTGTGTTAGCCGTTGGTGAAAGAGCCAATAGTTCAGCTGGTGCAACCTAGAAAATAGAGCTTCAGATAAAGAAATGAATTTAACGAATGAATTATCAATCAATAAATTCTATATGAGATGTGAAAGAAATATATTTGTTCATCTGGATATGAGTTGTTATTAGAATGGAGGTGATGAAGTAGATAAGTTGAAGAGAGTCAAGAGAAAGAGAGAAAGATGAGAGAGAGAGAGAGAAATAGAAGAGAGACCTGTTGCTCTGTGAGCGAAAGTGGTAATTGCATAATTTGAACTCTTTCGGTCGTTGTTACAGTTCGTGATTGAAAAGGGGATCCGCTTCTGAATTATATTTGTTTCATCTAATACTATATAGTCCTAACCTCAAAGGAGATTGTTCAGTTCGTTCCCGTCGAGTGACGGTCCATGTCGGCCTGTCGTGTCGAGATTCTGAAGTCAAGCGTCTGTTTAATGTTTTCAAACAGTTTTTATTATGAATATTTTAAATTGTAATTATTAATTATCATTGTATAATTTCAAAGAAACCTGGTCTACTTGGCGGCTTAGGTGGTCGACCCCGGTCTGACATGGTTCTGAAACGAAAAAAGAGGATTTAGAATGATGTCATGTATGTTGCATTGCTTCATAGGGTAATAGGTAAGAGAGGTAAGATATGATAACAGAACGAAAAAGGATGAAACTGAGTAAGATATACGAGATTTGTTATATGTTTGACAACAAAGCATAATGACAGGGTTCAGTAATGATGCAATTCTATTTCTTATGCAGAAGCATGAACATGTTAAGCTTAACGGAATACTCATTCAACTAGATTATAGGAAAAGCTTCGTTGATTATATTTTTCAATGACAAATGGGTTGATGGTAAGAAATGTTGGATAACTGATACAGGTATATCACATAAGGAATGACGATGATGGTAAGTGAAGACAAGCATTCGCTGCTGACAAGATCTGAACTTACGCGATATGAGGCAGTTTGTTTTGATTTTCAAATTATTTTAATAATTTAATGAGAAAAAACTATTTTTATTTCTTCCAAAACTGAAAAGAGAACTTGTTGTTTTCATTATTAAAATGTTTTCATATGCAAATTGGAGAGATACAATAGGATAGAGAGAGAGAGAGGTCATGGCAGGGTAGTGTGAGAGAGGAATACGAAAAGCGCACAAGAGGGAGCAAAGAGAAAATCTCAAAAAAAAGTGAATCATTTTCATGAGAATCAATGGACAATGGACAAATAAGTTGAGATGACATATAAGGAGATAATAGGAAACACATACGACAATCATAATTGTACTTATTGATTATACGGTTGACATCAATTGCTGGCTCCGAACGAATGAACGGATAATAGAAGAAGGAAGACAACAATCTCATTCGCATTGTTGATAAAGAGATTAAAAAAGTGTCAATGTTAGTGTGATATCAAACATATACTCTTCTTCTCTACAGTAGTATGACAACCATTACTGAAACACACATCCTTCATCTTCAGTCAAGAAGGACTGACTGACACAAGGCCTTTCCTCTCTCTCCCTCTCTTACTCCTCTTCCTCTCATCATTCAGCTCTTTAGAATTATCAACTAATGGTATGATAGTCAAATGAAAATGAATATCAATGAAACAGGTAGAAGATTCTTGCAAAATCACATTTCTTTTGAAATATTTTGAAGAAGAGAAATCGACAAGCAACATGTATTAGTAGATACTGCGAGAGATTGTTGATCATTAGAGTTCACAAACCGACAAACGCGAGAACGTCGCGTTCCTGGAGAGGAAATGGAATGTGAGAAGATGAAGAATCGAGAAAATGAAAGTTCATGAAAGCATAAACAACAACAACAACAATAACAATAACATCAGTAAGAGCATCACAACATGTGGTATAGATCAAGCATGGAAATTGAGAAGAGAAGAGAATTGACGAACAGGAAAAGCTGAGAGAACAGTTGGATTGGAATGGATGTGTAAGGTAGGCGACATCTCAACTCATCCTGGCATAATCGATGACTGTTTTGAGGGTAAAAAAGTATTTTTGGATAAACAGTGAACATCTGTTGAGGTTAAAAATGCATTTTGAAAACGGCAATTGAATGAAAAAAGAAATTTTAAAAAATGAAAACGAAGAGAAGGAAATCACATCGATTGATACATGCTGAAAGGAAAAATTCGAAAAATTCAAGAAACGAGAAGCCAAATTAGGAAAATGACGGAAAAAGAAGAGAAGAGAGAGAGAGAGGAAGAGACAGAGAGAACGAGAATGGAAAGGAGGGGAAGGGTGAGAGGGAGTATGAGTCAGTGGAAAGTCAGCTAGTTGTTACACCTGATATATTGAAACAAAACATATGAGAAAGAGGCGAGAAAATGATTGAATTAGGCAAGAGTAAGGCCAGGTATGGATATGATAGAAGGTGATGATGACAAGAACATGAGATGAGGTGGTGGTGATTGAAGTCATTAAACGAAAATCTGCAGAGAGCGAATAAAATTAAAGATGAATGAAATAATGATTGAAATTGATAGCTTAACATAAGGTTACAAGAGAAACAGCGACAGGATCATTGACGGAGGGCGAGCGAGAGAGGGAGTGAGAGGGAGGGAGAAAGAGATAGAGAGAGAAGGATAAGAAAGGAGTAGGACGAGTGCGAAGGAGGCGAATGATTCATACGAGGTAGAATACAAAACAAACAGAAACAAAACCTTTCAAGTAACGAATTGAAGGTAAAAATGTTGTTAGTGAGAGTAGGAAGAGAAGAAAAGAACTCAGATTACATGTGGACAGTTGTTTCTTCCACTGCGTCACTCGTCAATTAGAAGTTTTTGTTGTTTCTCTGAAGTCTGTTGCAGATTCACAATATCTCTGTGATGACATCTGCTTCTAGCTTTCTCTCTCTTCCTTTGAAACTTTCTTTTAACAAAAAGAGAAAAGAAGATGATGATAAAAAGAACACAGAGAGCGACAAGAGGGAAAGATGGACAAGCAGCAGTCATAGAGAGAGAGAGAGGGTATAGAGATGGAGAATGGATATAGACAGAGTAGAAGGAAAGGCTGACAGAAACTACTCAATGAAACTGATGATTACAACCAGATGCAGAAAATCCACAAAATAATATTTGAAATGAGTGAAACTCCTTTGCACATCATCATCATCATCATCATCATTCAACCCATCTTCTACTCATTCACTCTTGCAAGGAGATGTTCGAACAAATATTGCAATGCTGACGACTTCTTTTTTTCGTTTTCCTTGTCTCATTACCAGAATGAAGAAGCTGAGATGAAGCTGAACAAGAGGAAGAAGCTGTTGATAAGAGGTTGTTCATACAATATGTGTATAGTTAAGGTTAGTTATATGAAAAAGATTAAGGATATTCCGTCGTACTGTGTGGATGTTTCTGACACACAAACTGACGGATATCGCAAATGAGAGAGAGAGAAGAGAGAAACAGAGATCTGAATACAGAGAGAGAGAGGAAACAGAAAGAAAGAGAGAGAGAGAGATGTAATTGATCATTCAACAGGTTACAAAAGAATTAACTAGATGCATAGGACAAGTATGGATATGAATGAACTGATGAGGACAACTTCTGGGATTCCCCCATAGTCTCTTCAATCTCTCATACCCTATCACCTCTATGGTCTCTCTCTCTCTCTCATCATCTATCTCATCTCAACCGTGCATCAGAGAATCAAAGATTCAATTAATCTTCACAAAGGTAGCAAGGATCACACAAAGCTAACCGGTAATGCTCATTCTCAGAGTTGTGTTAGAATAAAAAAGTTTTTTTTCTGACATCTTTTGTTTCAACTAGTTTTGAGTGTTTAAAAGCCTTTTCTGGGGTGCAAATGACCATTTCTCTGGCCTCTCCTATAGTTCTATACTCTCTCATACTGCCCTCCTGATTAAACTTTGTTTTTTTCTACTTTAAGTTATCGATTGATGTCATCGAGAGTAGAGTAGTGAGGTGAGAGTACTAGTGATGGAGAGAGAGTGAGGTAGACAGAGAGATAGAGAGAAAGAAGGAGTTTCGATAACTCATATCCAAATATGTAATTGTCAAGTTACAATCCTTCTTTTCAAATTTCCATTTCGTGCAAAAGCCGTTGATTACCGACTTCATGACGTCATCGACATCATCATCATGAAATTCGAAAGTAAAAAAAGAAAGTTTAATTCTGAAATTAAATGAGAAAAAGAAGTTTTTTTTGTCGATAAAGCTACAAGACTAAAGAGATTTGTAACGAAGCGACTCACAAACATGAAAATCGATGGAAAAAAACTTTTTTTGTCTTACAATTAAAAGGAATTTGTGCTCAAATAGGATTGAATCAATCAATATGCTCCAAATAAGGCAATGAAGAAGGTTTAACAGAGAGAGAGAGATGGAGAGAGAGGAGAGAGAGGCTTTGAAGAGTGAAAAGGAAAAAGCTCAAAAAGCACAAAGAGAGAGAGAGAAAGCGGAGAAGGGATGAAAGAAGGATAATGTCGAGGAGAGTTTTCTAAAAAGTTTGAAACTGGAAAGAGAAAGAGAGAGATAGAGAGAGAAGGGGAAGGGATAGAGGGAGGACAATAGAGAGTACGAGAACTTGCAAAGAGACATGAAGGGAAAAGGCGAGAAGGAGCTTGTAAGCTGATAGATGCAAGAAATAGAGAAAAGTGGATTAAAAAAAACATTTTTTATGAAAGAGAAAGGGAGTGTCGAGCCGGACTTCTCATCACCTCCTTCACGCCTATTCTCAGTTGTTCGTTGTCAAGGAAACTTCGAGGTGAACGAGAAAAGGAGCCAAAAAATTAAGGAAAATAGATGAAATATACGTTCGGCCATGGTCGTTCTCGATCGTTCATCGAGTAAACCGTACTGAGAGGCTGCTTGGGTGATTGAGGAGAAGAAGGAGGATGAGGGCAAAGGCGTCCCATCCAACAGATAACTCAATCAGCTCTGATAAAGTTGTTTCTTTTTTTCCTTTTTTGGAGAAAAATTGTGTTGAAAGAACACTGACACTCTCTTCTCTTCAAATGGTTTTTGAGGAGCTTTGATGAGGGAAAAATACAATTGAAAAGGACAAGCACAAAGAAAATTGAAACCTTTCAATGTAAAGAGAGAGAATGGGAGGGAGAGGAGGAGAGATGGATGAAGAGAAGGGATTTCTACTGATGTCCTTCGGCTCAAAAAACAAACGAAAATCGTTTATGGCAAATAGGAAATGAAACCGAGGGAAAAGCTCTGTTTCCCTTAGGTGGCATATGTTTGAAAAAGAAAATCATTTTTTCAAAAATTCCATGAGATTTGTTTATCAAAGAATGATGATGAACATAGAGAGAGTGAGAGAGAGAGAGAGAAAGGTTTTCGCAAGGAAGGGAAAGAGAAAGGTGGTGAGAAAGAGAAGTAACAGAGATGAAGGTGGGAACAGAAGGAGAATGAGAGAGTGAGGAACAGGAAGTCCAATTAGAAAGAAAAACTGTTGCATGTTGGAGAAAGAGTTTGAAGCAGAAAATTGAGAGGTTAAAGCATATGAAGTAAGTTCATGTAATTGTAAGAATGAGCAAGACATCATGAAATAACA